ATATTTACAGTACCCTAATAGTGGTAATCAGAATATTTACAGTACCCTAATAGTGGTAATCAGAATATTTACAGTACCCTAATAGTGGTAATCAGAATATTTACAGTACCCTAATAGTGGTAATCAGAATATTTACGTCTGTGGCAGAGCTGTCAAGTAAGCTTGAATATTACTACATATGTACAGTGCTCTCTTACTATGAAAAAAAAATCCCATTTCATGGGGCATACATATATTTTATGTATGTATATCTAGTTGTAGAGAATTTTATTTATAGATATTATACTAGCCAAGTGAAAGATATTTAGTCTGTACCAAGTCTCTTGGTATATTTGAGCTATACCTGTAAAGTTGGTACATGTGTGACTTTGCTAAGAGATATACAGTATTAGTAGAGGTATTTTTGTGAGTATAATGGCCAAGGACATAAGTTGCACAAAACAGCATAGTTATTACGCATGAAAATGAAGAAGTGTTAAGAGTTACTTGTATTTAATATCATAGCAGTATAGAGGAACAGTTCTGCCTAGTTTACGAAATGTTGCCATGGAGAATTAGTAATTGATGTGGCATTCGTAGTGAAGTGTATATTTTGAAGTAGAAAAGCTGGCGCTTTGTGACTGGTAGATTTTCCTGATGTGATAGCTTAGAGTTGGTTGTAGCAGAATATATGAACGCTGTTGCCTGTTTCCTTTTTGAAAACACTGTGCAATTAGCCTGCATTTCAATGTACAAATGCTTTTCTTTAAATTTGTCCAAAATTTCGTATGTTTCTTACAAAATACTACCCATAGTGGGCAGTGTTCTAGGTAAAAAATAGTTAAAGACAATTGCTCTCGTAAATTTGTATTTTTTACTTACATTTGCCAAACCCAAAGATGTTTTTTTATTGAAAACCAATCTGAATACTCATAGATACATCGATTGTATGTATTTGTATGTGTGCTTACAGCCATGTGTGCTTGATTTGGTGTGTTGTCAAGTTTTGAGTCTCTTTTTTGACTTTTTGATGTTTTTAACTTCAGTCCCCATTTTACAGTGTTCCCATTTTCAAACTCTTTGTACATTTTTAATTTTTTCTCCATATTTTTCTTTTGTCTCGCTGTTTCAACTTAAAGTGCATTTTAGAGGCATATTCTGCCTTTTTTTTTAAGAGTAGAGAGATGTTAGAACTTTTGTGGGCATGTGATTAAAAAAATAGTGAATGAAAATTTTATTCTTCACTCAGCAGTAAGGTTTTTGAAATGCTTTAGGACGTTTAGGCAATGTCCAAATCATAACATGCTAAACTCAAACACCTTATTGTATCAGTCAGATGGGCTTCCATATGTTGTAACATGGTGTACATTTTTAATACCCACCCAACCACCACTCAACTCTTTTAACAAGGGCATTGTTTTATGGAGTATAGCATTTATCAACATTTTCAATAAAACTTATTTGTATCAAAATTTATCTTTTGACATGCTTTTCCAAGTTTTGCATGTTTTAATAGAGGCGAGTTGAAATGTATGGTTGCTCTAAAATAATTGTTTTATTACGTGGTGTTGCGTCAAATATAATTCATTCAGATCATGTGACCAGAATAATTCACAATATTTCCCAAATTATGACAGAACAATTCTTATAAATTAGAGCTAGATGTGACGCCGCTACAATATTGACAGTGGACCTGTGTTAATTTTTCTAGTGACTGCATGCATTTTGCACTGTAATGTCGGTAATAAAGAAATCGTTCAGGTATGGCTAATAAATATGTTATTAAATCCATGAAACGCGGGCACACGGAAGAGTGGCTAATTCTATGGCGATTGGTGTTTTCTCTTTCTTTTTATATAGCAAAGGGAAACCTACGAAGTCCAAATGGCAATGAGCTATACATAAAACACAAGATAGAGTACAGGTATACATGGAGGTAATGGATCTTCCAGACATCTACAACAGGTGCGAGCTGTCAGAGCAGAACTGCACCCTGAGTTTCACGTTCCGTATTGAATTTACACAATTCTTACAGGGGTACCTCCGCCAAGGATGTTGTTTCCTCTTCCCTTTGTCTGCCGACTGTCTGTTTGTGTGTAATGGATCTTCCAGACATTCACAACAGGTGCGAGCTGTCAGAGCAGAGCTGCACCCTGATTTTCACCATATTGAATTCACACAATACTTCCCTCCGTCAAGGACGTTATTTTCACTTCCGTTTGTCTGTTCGTTTGTTTGTCTATTACCAGCTTAACTTAAAAATTATGGCTGCATTTTGATGAAAATTTTCACGTTGAGTCAGAAATGCGCTAATTTCACAATGATTAGATTTTGGTGATGATCTGTTTATTACTGTTAATGTTTAATAAATTATGTCTTGGCGGAGGGATGTGCTCTCAGGGTGCTTTTCTAGTTCTTTTTGTTATATATGATATGGGATGTGGTATTTCTACAAGTAAAAGTGTGGAATGCAGGGTTGGTACAACACCCTGAGTAGCCAGGTAGTAATATGAACGTCTTGTATTGTGGCAGACCGAAAAATTCTCACGTTTTAATTTACAGGGTGTGACAACTTAAAAAGCCGGTGATGTATCTTTTGTATAGGTCTCCCTGCCCTATGGTAATAAGTACATGTAACCTTCCCTCCAGTGTATCTCTTTTGGAAATAACGACTCAGCTGGAAAAGCAGCTCGACAGTAACGATAAAGTTTGGCTTTGAGGGTCTATTACTGCATGGTGTTCTTTATTTACTTATTTATTTCCTTTTTTTTTGGTTCATTTTTACTTTTGTTTTGTACCTTGGGCGTCTCTTATTGCATTGTGCCTGTTTCCCCGCTGTCCTCGATTCTCATATCTAAAACCTAGCAGTTGGTAACAGTGCTGGTTTGAGTATCTGCTGATTACGATCATTTTAACATTAATTAAAATTTTCAGCTCTTACTACTTACAAGATGAAGCGTTTTACGAAAGTCCCAAGACATAAAAGATAAGACAGTGAGCATGCTATAGGTTTTTGCTCTGTTGCTGTATGGCAGCTGGGATTTGCCGTTTATTGTAAACATTATCTGAGTGCAAATGTGCCCTTACTGCGTGGAAACCTGTTATACTAATAAATCGCTGCTTCCCCATTTTATTTCCAAAAACATGGTTATGTCATCGAATTATTTGTAAATTGTATGCCCTCTTTTTCGTTTTGCTGTCTCATTGAAAACACTGTTGTATTTATTGAAGATAATTTTATGAATATCATATGTAATGGTGATCTTGGTAGTTAGGCCCCTTTTCACGATTCATAATTATGCATTGAAAAATTATGAAAACAAACAGAAAGGAGAGTACTTATTTATTGCTTGCATTGCACATTTCCGTTTGGTCTGAGCAGGAAATTACAGCTGGCACTGACTCAAAAATTTATAGTTTTTCTGTGCTATATTTTATCATTATTATAAATGTGATGTGAATATCTTTCTACTTAAGAGAGTATGCTACGGATCTGATGAAGTTGATGTTTTTGTGTGAACTGATGTGTACGATTTAAAACAGAACAACTTTCCGGTAATAAATTATGATCAATGCGCCAGTAATCTTTTCTGTTTGCTTCCACTGCATGATGAAATTATAACCAAAGAAATGATAATGATTTTTATCTCGAAAAGTACAGCTCCTTTTCTCATTTGGCCATGTGTTACTGTCATGTGAGAAACAAAGCTCGGCGTCAATCTTCAACGGTTTTATTTTATTTTATTTTATTTTATTCAAAGCAGCTCAAGGTGAAAGCGTATTGTCATGAAAAGAATTACAAATACTGCTGTTTCGAGCTACAAAATGTAATAAAACGGACGGCACTTTGTAGAAATAGTGTTATAGTTTCAGAGCATTTCAGAGCATTTCCATTTCCCCAACTGTCCTCGTCTCTGCGGTTTAATTAAGTAAATATTTTTAGATCTTATCTGTGCAAAGGCTTATGCAGTTGACAGCAAGACAATATTTTGTATTTTCTACATCATGAAACGTGTGGTTACGAAACAGTCATGTTTTCCTTCGACTCAAAAATCAAGCACCCCATCCCTGTGCTGGGGTAGAGATTAAGTCAGTTTTAAAGGAATATCGCCTTTCCGGTATTAAAACGGACAACACGTTGTAGAAATAATCCCAGAAGGCAAACGACATTGATTCTACGTTGATTCAACGTTGATCCACCAAAATTAACGTTGATTCAACGGTGAATCAATGTTTTTTGTCTGCTGGGAATGTGTTATAGTTTCAGAGCATTTCAGAGCATTTTCATTTCCAAAACTGTCCTCGTCTCTGCGGTTTAATTAAGTAAATATTTTTAGACCTTATCTATGCAAAGGCTTATGCAGTTGACAGCAAGACAATATTTTGTAATTTTCTACATCATGAAACGTGTGGTTACGAAACAGTCATGTTTTCCTTCGACTCAAAAATCAAGCACCCCACTGTTCGCACGCCCCAGTGCTGGGGTAGAGATTTAGTCAGTTTTAAAGGAATATCGCCTTTCCGGCAGAAAGGCGGTACCTCACAAGTTATACTGAACTTCACCAGATATTTGAGTCCAAATTCCTACCAACGACCCCCCCCCTCCCAAAAAAAAAAAAAAAAAAAAAAAAAAAAAAATTGACTCCTGTCTATGAGTAGATGTACATAAGTGATAGAACACAGGGTGGGTATGGTTAATATATATATTCTTTTGTTTGTTCGCCAATTGTTAATGGCCAAAACAGATGTCTTGCCAGCTGAGGATGAGTAATACGTGGATTGTACTGATGTTCTAGAGAATACAACATACGTACAGGTAAGTTTTGTTGTACTCTTTGTCCTGTCATTTAGCATATTATATTGCATGATCAAGTGTCTTTATTTTAATAACCTTGTACCATGATAGCAGTATATGAGGTTAAAATGAAGACCCAAAAATATAATCAGATAATACAGTGTTTTGCGCATGCTGTATCACTCAGTTTTTAAATACCTAAGCCTAAGACATAATAACGAATGTCCAAGCCTAAGCTATGCACAATGATACGTACATGTACCAGTATTACCGGTAATTATCGTGGCAAAACTGGCAAAACTGTTGGGCCTAATTCACTGATTTTTCGAAACAGTATGAAAACGACTTGCCGCAACGCCTGCTGTCTTGCAATGTAAAAATATACGTAAAGGTGATTTGCTATCTCCAAGTGACTTAAGACCGACAGCTCAACTGCCGAGGTAAAGATGAAGATGACGTCACCAACCCGGAGTTTCTGTGGTTACATATATTTGCGAACTGCCTCTCTGTCATGGCTGTTTACAGGCACTGGCCTGGTGCTACTCGGGGTGACGTCACGATCCCATTCTTAAATATATGATTTTTTATCCTTGTACTCCCCCCCCACCCCCACCCCACCCCTCAAACACAAACACACCGACTAGCGCCGTTTTAAAGACCTTAACCCTAGCGGGTTCGAATCTGAGTCTGGACGTCTGGTAGTTGAGCGTGTGCAATGTGCTTACGTGTATGTAAGCATCACAACAGCGGACTAGCAAGTTCACGGATCAAATATGGCCGACCCACTTGAATGCTTGTCGCATAATCCCCTCGGGGAATCTATTCAGTGTTTATAAGGAGATTAGACGACAAGCTTTTAAGTCTGTCGCCATATTTGATCCGCGGACTAGTTAGTCAGCTGATTTGAATGCGGCCTTAGTGAGCCGTCCAGAAGACTGCAAAGAAAGTTCTATTTTCGTCCTTTTTGACATCAAATTTTATCAAATGAATTATTCTCTTTTCAGTCATGACAGTGTTGTATACGTTAGCCGTTTTGTGGTTGATATCACTTTTACCAGGTGTAGGTAAGAAAATTAGGACATAGAATGATTTTTATATATAATGGAGCATTGCTTATCATACACAGACTGTGGAAATTGAAAGGGAAAATTGACTTTCAAGGAATTTATGATTATTGATAACCAACAATTCGTATTTGTTAACATGAACGTGTCAGTTACATTAGCATTGATAGAGCCAAAGTCACCTTTTAATCAAATCTAAACCAGGGGCCGGTTTAATAACATTTTTTATGAAACTTAAGACCGAAAGAAGGTAGTCTATTTTTTCGCACACGATAAATCGGTATTTTTTAAAATCTAAATGATGTGTTGTAAAAAAGAAGATATTGCTAATGTTGTAGACCTACCTTTATATTGTTTCCTTTTAGTAAAGTTCTAATTTATTTATTTATTTATTTTATGGACAGCTACAAAATTATCTTATATTGAAATTCAGTTTTACCAACTTGCGGTTAAATAGTTCTATGAATCCACCCAAAGGTATTTTTTGATTTTCAGTGCTAGTCGATTAAATTGTCACCCAATTATCTATCTATACATTTGATTTGATCATTTCATCATCTATTCCGTGTACCATTTCCAATATAAACAATAACACACGACTCTCTCCCCCAGTGTCCCAGGATTTACATGTCCACTTGGAGCCTGATCGGAACACATTTTACGTCAACATCGGAGACGATTTTGAGGTGACGTGTGCGCTGGACAGTGGCTCCCTGAATGGCGGGACGACATTCCAGTGGTACCGGGATGACGGGACAGACCCCGGCACGAAGATAACGGACACTGCTTTGCCTGTCGACACGTAAGTGTGGTCAGTGTGCCCTAGTGATGGTTGTCCGAGTACCCAGACAGTAGAGAACCGTGCCCTCTACCAGGTTCACAGATTGATTTTTTCGCTAGATGTTTGCCGATACCTACTTTGTCTCTGCCTAATTCATGACACGATTGTACGCGGAGGAAGAGTGTCCACAATTAACCCGCGGCCCTGGTAGAGGGTACATGTAAGAAAAACCCTGGTGACATTTGCCCGAGTACCTTAGTCAAGCCCTTGGTTCAGTGAAATCTGCAACTGATATTTTCTTTTTTTTTTTTTTTCAATTTTCCATCTGTTATAGCTTTGGGTAATAATATTCACTAATCAAGTTGGTAAATGCATTTTGGATCAAATGTTTCTTCAGGCACTTCTTAAAATATCTTATTATAAAATTTGATTCTTTTAAATGCCCTTGCATGAGTACAATAATTGGACATTTACTTTTGTAATGTATCCACCACGTGACCTCTTGCAGCCAATCAGGCCAGGTAGTAGAACACAGTTCAGGACCGCCTCCTGAGTCAAAACTGAAGTTTTATCAGGTACAGAGCAGCGATTTTGGGAGATTTAAGTGTATAGGATCGTTCAATGGGACAACCTCAGACCCAGTCGTTTTCTCATTGGAGATGAGAGGTAAGTTGCGCGCCGTTTTAGAAATCACACCTAACGCACTGTGACCACTCCGCCGTTTTCTGTTAGTTCTACAAGTACTGGTATGAGGGGAGGGGGGGCACGTGACGTTATGAGCAGCAACTCGACTCGACCAGACAAAAAAGTGTCCAGATGTCGAGAAATAACATACAACACATTTTCAACTTTAAGATGTATCGATATCTTTCCAAAATTTGTACTAGAATCCCTTTGCCCCCCCCCCCCCCAATAAAAGACCATAAAATGCGTCTTAAACAAAAAGTAATTACAAGTAACCAATAAAAAAATTATTTATAATGATCTAATGTCAAATTTTCACAATTTCCATCAACTTTAAAGATGTTCTTTACGCGAAAATAATACCATAATAATAAAAATTCCAGATAATAATACCATAGAAGATAGACCAAATGTTGATTCAGTACATTTTCCCATCTTCCCGACGTCCCATTACAATAGCAACTCCATCATACTTCCAGAACCGATCACTTTCACCGACGCCGAGCTCACACAGACGGTGACTTTACACCAGGAGGCGCTGGTGAAGTGCCTGGCGACAGGACGTCCCGCACCCAAGATTACCTGGAGCTTTATCCCTCTGGGGACAGGTACCAAGGAATTTGATATCACGGGGAATCAAGGTTTGTATGGACTCTATCTGCTCTATCTACAGTATAGTTTAGTCTACCGTGACATCTCTCTCTCTCTCTCTCTCTCTCATTGAATATTTCAACACATTAAGAACATTTTTCCCTTTTCCCTTTTTTCCCATCATGCAAGATGAATTTCTGTAACTTCTGAGGATACAATAAACGGCCGTAGAAGATGGAGAAGTATCGAGCATGAAGTGCAGATAACATCAGAACAGCCCTCTACAATATTGAGCTCGAAACCATTTTTTGGGTGTAGAGTGAACTCTAAGTCTGATATCTTAAAGGCACACTCCATGAGATTCACCCGCCAAAATGGATTTTTCCGGAGGAAATAAGCAATTTTCTCGCAATCATGAATCATTTATTTATCCATCTGCACTCTTATTCAACCTTTGATAAAATCCATAAAAACCATAAATCCTTAAATCCTTAAAACGACTGGTCAGTCATTACAGTATATGACAGTAATCCTTTTCCTATAAGCTTTAATGGAAATATCAGCATCAAGTAAGCTCCAGAAAAAAACTATTTAAGAGGTTAAATCATTTTTAAGGTGTATTTAAGGTTTTATAAAAAGCATTGTTGGGGATTTTCAAACCCATGGAGTGTACCTTTAAACCACTTTCTTTCAGCCGACATTTACTCAGAAACTCATGAGGGCCTCGTCATCAAGAATGTCACCCTGGGCAACGAGGGCACGTTTGTGTGTGAGGCAGAGTCACTGAATTCCACGCTCAGTCTGAATATTTCGGTGGAAGTTTTTGGTAAGTGTTAATGTTGAATTTGGAAATATTATATGATAGATAGATAGATAGATAGATAATAGGTAGATAGATTGGTGTTATCCATTATTGCTACGTGTGTTTCCAGACAATACAACAAAAAATGACAGGGAAATATGATTTTGTGTTTCCTTTGGGTTGCATAGGTGATTTAATTTGCATATGCTTTATAAAGGCGTTCGTCATTCTTCAGAGTATTTAGTTCTTCTATTTGAATATGTTAGTGTAAATATGAAGTTGAATGACACCACCGGCTTTTGAAAAGAAATAACGGGTTGAAATTTTTTTCATTTCGTTTTTAACGACAACAAATGAATAATTTCTAAATAAAACGCCCCTAGTATTTATTTCTTCATTCTGTTATTGATTAGCTAATTTTCTTTCTGTTCATTTTCTTTCATTATTTGTCTTTCATTTATTAATGTATCTGTTTTATTCTTTTCGCATATTTCTTGTTATATGTGTTTTTTCTAAATTAATTAATTTCGGTTCGGGGACAAATCACAGACATGTATATCAGTGAACAAGCTTTATGATTTCCCACCTGGCGTAGGCCATACTATTTAGGATCGGTGATTTCGTTCTTTTCAGAACCTCTCAGCTGGGTGACAGTGCCTGAGGACACCCAAGGGTACCTTAACCACTCCATAGCGTTCACCTGTGGGGCTCAAGGCAGACCAGAACCGCAATATAAGTGGTTTAAGGTAAATCAGAATTACATCTTAACCACTTTGGAGGATGAAGGTGTGTGTGTGTGTGTGTGTGTGTGTGTGTGTGTGTGTGTGTTTGAGATAGAGAGAGAGGGAGGGAAAGGGCAATAAAAAAATGTAAAAATCAATTATTCAGTTAATACATGAACTAAAATTAAGGCATTTAATTTTGCCACAGGGCTTATATTAAAACTGTAAGAAATTTATAGATTAAAATGTTGACTCTTGAGAAACACTTTTTTGTGTGGGTTGTTCTCGAAATCCAATGACGGCTTAATAACATTAAAGGCGCCCTCCGCGTCCGAAACGCCAACGATCTTAGTCGCAAACAGCCGAGTGTCCCTTAACTCGACCAGTGGTCAATTGACCATCACTGCAGCGCAACAGTCTGACGCAGGAGTGTACACGTGCATGGCAGAGCAGTCAGCGGGGAGTAACATCACAATAAGTGCCATCTTGGAGGTCAGCGGTATGTCATGTTTGGTAGAATACTAGGATGATCGATATTGTTCACGTTTAAGCCAAGTTTCATATCTATTAATATAAATATCAGAAATAATAGCCTCTTTTTACAGAAAGACAAATTAGTATTGCAAGAAAATACCGAAAAGGACGGAATATGCAAAAATAATGTAATTTATTCTTTTCTAAAAAAAACCCTTCATATTCTCACCAATGTGTGCAAGCTTTTTGATTACATAGCGCAGAATATTAGTTTTCCACTTGGTTTAAATCTATGATTCTATCTCATTATCTCATTTTTATCTTTCCCTGTAACAAAATGCGTCTTAAAAATTAAAACTGGGATTGTTTTCAGACCCAGCACCAAGGATTGTCAGCTTTCAGAACTCGACAACCTTGGAAACGTCTGAGGGCGTGATGACGTGCAGCGCGCAAGGCAAACAACCAATAAACATTACGTTTACAAAAGTTGTACTTCCGGTGCCAGAGAACCTGGATGAGGTAATGCTTTCATTTCCAGCATGCATCGTTGAGCGGCAATTCAAGATCATTTCGACCTTATTATTATTTCAATTTCGATCGAAATGTTTGTCGGTTGCCAAACTCAGTAAAGGTTTTGATTGTTCTTGCTTTGTTGTATGTATAATCTGCTAATTCATTTTACATGGATGGGTGACAAATCCCTCCGAAATGGACTGAATTAGACATAATTGTCTATATCTGTTCCGGATTTATCTTGAGCACGCTGTTTTTGTATGCATTAAGGTTTACTGTCATATCATTGCTTACAAGGATTGTACTGAACAGATAAAAACAAATATGAAATGTATTAACATTTTGTATGTTCCAAATTAAGATATCAAACTGTGTTTGTGTGTGTGTGTGTGTGTTTGTGTTTGTGTATGTGTGTGTGTCTGCCTGTCTGTTTGTACATATTTTTCATTTTGTTCTCATTTCTTGCAAGACTTCTACCCGCATAACACTGGAGAGATCTCATAACGATACCACGGTCAGCTCCACGCTGCGGATAGCTAACTCCATTGCAACGGATACTGGTACCTACAGATGCTTGGCGGACAACGATTTTGGTTCAGATACCAGTGATGCCACGTTAACAGTGGAATGTGAGTTGAGTTATGGACGTTTTGCTCAACGCTTGAATTTTTTATCGCCACCCAGGATTTTGTTTTTACCTTTATTGATTTGTTTGTAAACGGTCTAACTTAATTAAAAATAGGAACTAATTACGATTAGCTTTTCTAATTTAATTTTGATTTCATCTCAATATGAAAATTAAGCTTGCTTGGCGGAGGTACGCGCTCTCTGAGTGCTTTTGTAAGTCGTTAAATGGTTTTTGCAAAGAGTGGGAAAGAGAAATAGGAATTAATTAAGCATATTGCAGTTCGAGTTCCAATGCTGGACACATGCACTGGTTCGGTTAATTATAATTGCACTTTTCGTAAATTGTTCAGACCAGCCCCGTTTTACCGACACAATGCCAGTGGCCAATGAATCTCAACGCTTCTGGCTTTACGACAATCAGGCTGTTGCCATGGTCACCCTGATGTGTAAAGTGGACGCCGTCCCTCCCCCTAGCCAGTGGTCATGGTGGAAGGGGACTGACCACATCAGTAACGATGCCAATCATACCATTGTCATTGATGGACTGACCAGTAACCTGTCTGTGAGTGTTAATATGCAATAACTCAGCAAATGCGCCATCTGTGTACATTTTGTTTTATTTAAACAGTGTCGTCAAAGTAATGTCACCATTATTACGATACGGTGCTTCTAGTTGCGTTGTTAACAGGGGCCGTTTCACAAAATAAATGTAGCCCTAAAATTGGACTTAATTGGAATACCAAAATTTTGGTCTACTTCATTTAGTTGAAGGTAAATCCGCATTAGTCCATTTGAATAAAGTAAGAACAAGTGTGAACCATAACTACATTACATGTTGTCTGTTTTACTTTAAAACAGGTCAGTTAATTCATTTGATCGAAGTATTACTGATTCATCTTAGGTCAAACTGGACTTAAGTTTTGGCCAAAGAAATGAGATTATACTTCGGGCTTCAATAGGCCGCATTCACAACAGCGGACTAACTAGTCTGCGGATCAAATATGGTCAACCCACTTGAATGCTTGATGCGTAATTACCGGGTGGAATCTATTCAGTGTCCATTAGGGATAAGACGGCAAGCTTTTAAGTGGCTCGCCATGTTTGATCCGCGGACTAGTAAGTCCGCTATTCTGAATGCTACCTAAGATATTTTGTACTATTCCTTATCATTATGACTATTATACATTTGAACATACAAATGGACGTAAATGCGACCTTTCCCATGCAACAACTGCAGGCTAAGAATTTTTTTTTTCAGATTGCCGTGGACGAGAACAACATTGGAACTGTTAGCGGGGTGTATCACTGCAACGTGTATAACTCGCGTGGAATGGCGAAACATTATATAACTCTGACGGAGTCTAGTATGCTTCTGGATTTTCATCTTTCTTGATTTCTTGATTTGTAACATTATTAAAATAAATACTGACGATTATATATACTATCATAATCCTCCCACGTGGTAATTCGACACGTCATATGTAGTATGAGAAGATGTGGGCAGAGTCAGTGTACATCTTATTGTTTTTACACGAAGCATATATTAATAATAGATTTTTGCTTCGAGCCAATATGATATAATTTTTATATTGCGTTAAAGCCAGCAGTATTGCAAAGAAGCCAAAAATAAACTTAAAACAGTCATACGATTTTGCAGACATCAAAGAGACAGAGAATTATGATCAGTTTCCGTTGTATATCAACAAAGTGACTTGTCTCCATAACAGGCAAACAAAAAGGATCATACCTTACAAACTAAAGTTACCAACATACAAGGAAGTTAAACGATTAAAAAAGCTTACTTCCAGTGACCTCCAATAAGATAATTTATAATTATGATTAATTCTGCTTTTTCCAGCCGTTCCAAGTAAAGTGACCGACATACATATTAACAAGACCACGTCCACTACGGTCCAGCTGATAATTGACCCCCCGCAGGACAATGGCGGCCTGCCAGTCACAGATTATTTAGTTGACGTGGCCGAGCTCTCCCAAACGGGTACCTCACGGCATGTGAAACTCCAAATAGGTACAACTTACACGGTAGTGTAGAGGAATATGCCTGATTGGGGATCAGCCGAGACAGCCCATAACAATACCTATTTTATTTAAGTAGATTAACTATATGTCTGGGGCAACTTTTTTGCATAAGCATAGAGCAATTTTGAGACTAAAGTTTGTTTTCATTAAGACCAGATCCATGGCCGAGGTTTGCCACAATTGTAACGTTGTTTCCTGTTGTATGACACGACAGATTTGGATCTACTTGGGCACACGATATTCCCGTTCAAAATTTAAGTTCCCCTTTTAGATTCGGACCTCGTCATCACGGAACTGAAGCCCAACACGACGTACGTGGTCAAAGCTAAGGCCGTTAATGCCGCGGGGATGAGTGACCAGAGCGAGGGGGTCACCGTGCTTACTGCACCCTCTCAAGGTGAGGATGTGTCTCATTGAGGTGTGGTCAAATTATGTTACACTTAGGATTTTAATCATGTTTTATTAAGCGATACTTTTCCTATTAGGACAATGTCATTACTTTTTTTAATATGATTAAAACTAACTTAATTTGTTGAGAATCTTGAGGTCCTTCAAATACAAATTATCATTCACGACTATAATTCGGATTTACTATTGAGGAATTCCTGAAGGACAGCTACTGAGTTTGTTTGCGAGTGATCAAGCGGTTGGGTTGGCGTTGGCAAAAAAAATGGACAATAAGGAAAAGGTTTATTCGAAATATGGCGTGCTTTTGATGTGGCGTTGCAACTGCTAGTGTAACATATTAATTACCATGTTTGATTTGCTTCTATCTGGTTTTATGATGTGGTTTGAGGCGCTAGAGGTAAAGCATTTTACAGTCTTACCGCCAGCACACACAGAAGATTTCTTCTGTCTGCACAACGGATGACAAGCGCTCACAGGACTGTTCGTGACCTGGGTAAGTGCGATTTACTGCAAAAAAATCACCCACAAAAGATGGACTACGATACTTATTTAGTATAATAGATAACGATGAATATTGCCGTCAATATCAAGATGTATATTTTTATCTAACAAGTTTCTGTTAAAGTTCATTTTAAACCGGACATTAGTTTGTTCACTGATCACAAACAAACATACTTATCACAATAAATAAATAAATAATAAATAAAAATAGAAGATGTTGATTTTAATCATTGGCGTTTTCATTTTGTGTTGTGGATTTTGCATTTGGTACACCTTTGCGCATACAGCCTTGCCGTGTCTGAGTCTGCTTCTCAAGGTATTGCCAATGCAACCATTGCTTTTTTTACCCACTTCATCGTACTTTGAATAAAAGACCCTTTCGCTTTTACTTTCATTTTCACAGCAAGCGCCCCCGGTCCGCTTTCACAGTTGAACGTTACCAATGTAACGTCGGATTCCATAACGCTAGAGATTGCCCCGCCGTCTGAAAATGGCGGACTACCCATAACTGGTTACATGGTCATCATGGGAACGCAACACCAGTCCTACAATCTTAGTAAGTATATTAAGTATATATTGACAAGACATCAATTCGAGGGTAGGTGCTAGAAATAAAAGAAGTATTTTTGTAGACCAGTGCTTACATCATCTTTGATATTACATATGCATGCATTTTTCCCATAGTCAAACATATCGTTGCGAACCGATAAAACTATATATAATACGATAATCAGAGTATATGATACCTTAAGTTACGTTATTCACATTTATATTAATATTTTTATTTTCATTTACATTTAGTAGTATTGTAAAATTTAAAAACTTATATATTATTGCTGGCGGCAGATTATTTGCTCTTTTTGTCTGATACCATGAATCTTCAAAAGGGTTAACCAAAACGCATTTTATTCCTCGCTTAGAGAGGTGGTTCCGCATCTAATTTTTTAAATACAAACCTTCATGGATACGACTTCAGGTCATCAAGTCCTCCGCGTTGTTATTCTATTTATTTATTCATTTTATACATATATTTGAATAACCACATGAAAAATTATATGTCAATGCCATTCAATGTATTCTAGATGACACTCTGACTATACATGGGTTAGAGAACGGGACTCTCTATAACGTCCAAGTAATGGCAGTTAACGCAGAAGGAATGGGTCCTCCAACCGCAATTAATGTTACTACGCTGACGACAGACGGTAAGAGACACTGTATTATGTCATTTAAATTGAAACATTTAACGCATTGAAACAGATAGACCTACGATATCTACAAGGGTAACTATTATCTACTTTAGCTATATTTAAGTTCGGGAACATATTTTATTATTTTTTGTGTAATGCCGATAAAGAAGTAAATCGTTCCAAAACGAATATCAAAGGGTTTAAGAAAGATGAGTTTTTTAATTGTACTGTATATACAATGATTTATCATGTCGGCGCCTCATCTTGGGAGATAACTCTTGATGGATTTTTTCAATATTTTCTTTATCTTTTTTAATTAATTTTAAAGGTATAATAATAGCTATTATTGTTATTAATAATGCACCTGTTGTTTACACCACGCGCAGTCACGATGCGCGGCAATGCACGCCCGCACTCCAAGTTTACCGTACACGGGTTGCTGTCATCCACGATCCCCATGTTGTACTTTTTCGTAGTAGAACTCTGGAGTAAAAAATAGATATATAAATGAATATACAGGTTGGAGGTAACCGCAAACTATTACTGGGTTTGGTGCAAAAGCTTTTTTTTTTTTGATGTTTCTTGGGAAAAGGTGACAAAAAGTTAATCGTTTACGAAGGTTATGAATAGTCAAGCATTTTTACAAACTGTTCGCTTTTAACCATGTTTAGTTGTAGGTACTCCTGCACCCACAGAACTGCCCTCCACCAGTACGACTGTAACCACAACCAGTTCCTCTGGCACAACCACTTCAACCAGTTCAACCACAACCACTACAACCAGTAGAACCACCGTGACAGCGCCACCGCCTCCGCCCACTGATGCCGATACCACCACAACAGTAACGCCATCTACTGCCAAGACACTGGAAGCAACATCTACCACTGTTGAACCCATGGTAGTACCAGTCAAAACGAAAACAGGTGCTCCTTCTCCCTCTCTCCCCCTCTATCTCTATTTAATTATTTCCAGACACGTCACAGTCGTCAACGTACATTAACAGATGAACTTTTTCTTTTTTTCTTACACGTATGAAATGGTATAAAATGTTAATCTGTTGGAGTCTTCCGCTACATTTGAGACTTCTTTCGCACTCTATAAGTTGCACTTATCACTTAGTTCATACAATGTACTCTTAGATCCTCACTTATTCTGTGCTGTTTTAAACGTATTGACAAAAACTTTGAGCTAGTAGCAATAACGATTATTATTCCTATTATTTTATATTAAACGTATAGGTCTACTGCCTCAGCAGTAGCTTCTTTTATAGAAGAACATTTCCCAGAAATTGTCCAAGACAATTAAAACGTGTCTGAAACCTAGTGATAGTGTGATTATATATATTGATGTAAGTTCCCGGATTTGTTTTGTTCCAGAGTTCTACTACGAGAAGTACACTCCGTGGATCGTGGTGAATGACAGCAACCCGTGCACGGCACACTTGGAGTGCGGGGCGTGCATTGCTGCGCATCGTGACTGCGCATGGTGTAAACAAGAGGTAAATAATAATAATAATAATAATAATAATAATAATAATAATAACAGAGTACATTTATCGGATGACGCACCGTAGTTTTGCTCTCAATAATCGCTTCATTTTCCGATTAAAACAGATGTATTTATCATTATAGGGTTGGGAAGACTTTCATTCCGATGACCGCTGCGATACATTGAGCAAGCTTCAGGAATTGGGATGTACGCCAGATAACATCGTGAATCCAAATAATAAAATAGTGACTGGAACGGTAATACATATCGGGATTATTGCATTGTGTTACAACTGGATTGATTAAACAATCGCTGACTTTTTATTCTTGTATCCGACAAACGTGTTGTATGTAAACTGGTGTGTGTACGAAAAACGACTAGAACATTGAAAGTCTTTCTACAAAGAGAAGTGCAATGTAGCCTAACCGTTACACTGTTTGATTGCTGCAAATAGCCAGAGTTATTGTCATTGACTTTTTCTTCCAGAGTTCGGCAGATCTTTTCATTGGCCCGCCGGAAGTCACCATTACACTAAAACCCGGTAAGAACGACAGAACACAAAAAAAGCATTATTCGGTTAAGACCTGTAACCTGTTTTACAAAAAATCTCAACTTCCGTGGTTGAGCTTACTGGAGAGTCAACTACGCAAAGGCAACTTCGTGGTATTGGTCTGAGAGATTTAAAGAATGGTTTATCAGCAGTAAATGTGTGTGACATAACTAATTGGACTACCGTCCGTCGACAATTAAGAGTAAAAACCATCAAGACAATCATAATTTGCTCAAATTTGCTCAAGGGGCGTAAATGAAAGACCGTTAGATCAAAGTAAGCGCTCTTCTACATTTTTCTTTCAGTAAAGGCCCTACTATCACGCCTTGGCGATTTACCCAGTGGATGCCGCCGTATGAAAAAGTTGACAAATACTTGGCATTTTATTAATCATAACATTACACCATTATCATTGTTGTTGTTGTTGCTGTTGCTGTTGAAGTTGTTGTTTGATAATTTTTAACATATTGTAGGCAGCATCGTGTCTTTCACTGGTACATACGCCGTACCTCCCTCCTACTTGCTGGATGTCTACATTTTACTGGAGGTCAATTATATGGATGAAGACAACCAAATGAAGATATACCTGGAATCAAATATGCAGTCAATAGGTGAACTCTCTCTTTTTCTGTGTGTGTGTGTGTTTGAGTTTAGTGCTTTAATGATAGCTTTTAGAATCACTTTTATGTAAAAATAATAATTTAAACATTGAACTACATGATGACCTTTGTTTACAATGTTTTGTTTATTCTCTTTCATAAAGCAAACACGCTGAATACTTTTTCCAGTGATTTACGGTTTGGATTCGGAACATTTATCGATAAACCCGAGATGCCGTTTATGTCAGAAGAACGGTATGTAAAACTATGATAGAATGTGAATGCATGTATCACAAATGTATGGCGAAGCACTGTACTTTCTGGTATCAAACAGAGTCACACTAAACGTGTTGAAATGGGGAAACCAAACACAAAAAAAAAAAAAACTGTTGCAGTGACGCAAATATATCAATGTCTCATGAGACAGAAACGTACCACATCCACACATACATACACACATCCGTGCGTGCATGTATACATATTCAGTCCCATGGTAGAACGTTGCAGACATATCAGAACATTAGTAGACGTCAGAACACTAGTAGGTTGTTACTTTTCTGGGAAGACATCGTTTGAATGTATTACTACGATAATATGTGGTATATATGAAGGAAAAGCTAATAATCCAGATAGGGCCTACTGTCACGTTTTTTTTTTTGTTCCTCAAATATATGAACTTTAAGCACACGAAGGATTGCGTCTTATTTATTGGCACCACTATAATACCGTCAGTTTGTTGATAACATTTCAACAGTTGGTAGTCTTAAATAAGTCGCAAATATCTGAATCAGTAAGCCGTGATATACGAACGTGTATGCATAAGATAGGAGTATGGGTGCACATTTAAACAGAATTTTTTTTTTGTATTTAGTAACCAATATTGCCTTAATTGTGCTGAGAACTGCACGTGCCAACCATCCAGTTTCCAACATGTCGTCGGAATGACGGAGGATTTGGCTTTGATAGAGGTTGGTAGAGTTTCAGAATCGACATATTTACCTTCATCATCATCTTATTTCAATACAAGCAAACTTGGCGCGTCTGAACTTCAACTGTATTTGATTGAAGATTTCTGCACCAATCACGGGTTTTTTATTCACTGTGTCACGTGTCCTCCAAAGGAACCACGAAATCTGATTGGCCAATGCGCTTTTTTGATCGGTGCGGTGGACTTCAAAGGCCCTAGTGAGATAAGCATAAAAACCTAGCTGAATTAAAAAAAAAAGAATACTATTGCAAAGCTGCCGATTGACTTTTTATAGAAATATGTGTATCGGTAGCGCATTTTTAACCTTTTCGAAGTTCCATTAATAGATAGAACTGATAAATAGAAGTACAAAATAACTGCAAACTAAAACGTCACATTGAGGGTTTTTTTAATTGGTCTTGTATTGTCTTCTAAGCACACATGTACATAGCTTAAGTAATTCTTTGTGAAAATGTCAACGATTTCCCTTTAATCACAAAATGTTTCATATCTAAACCGTAGGGGAAAATAGCGATTTATGAATCTCTTTTGTTACTGAATATCATCTTTTACGTGACCGTTTCCATTGATGCAGGAGAGGGTTTACGAATCACTGGAAAACTTCAGTAAGGATCCGTTAGACGCGGGGCTGGATGCGTTGCTGCAAGTTATTCTATGCAAGGTAGGCTCATTTCAGATGTTGACAACACTAACAGGCCTAGTGTAGCCAGCAATTTCAAAAGAGGGGTTCTTTTTCTGAAAAAGTGGACCTATTACCATGAAACCTTCCTGTGCCTAGATAAAATTTGACCCAGAGGGGGCCTTTTTCCGGCAAAAAAGGGGGTTCTTTCTAAACCCCCCCCCACCGTCCCGGCTACGGACCTGACATAATTGGAGTTTGGCTCATGGAAATCATCCGAGATAGCCTAACCAAGAAGTTGTAAAGATCTCTTTACAACTTCTTGGCCTAACACGAGGCTGACGACACTGTGTCAGCGGTAAACAAGAGCTTATCAGTTTTCCGGTTTGGGGTTAGAGTTAAGCACATGGCAACAGAACAGCTCCTGAATTCCATTGATGAAATCAGATTTGATTCTGGTCGTGGTATACTTGATATTTATGATATTCAAGCAGTTTACATTATGATATACAATAATATAATAGTATATTTGTACAGTGTGCAACATTATGGTGGATCCAGGGTTAAGGATTTTCTGGGAATGTATATTTAAGTTGACATTTATTTATTTATTTATTTATTTATTTATTTATTTATTTATTTATTTATTTATTTATAGGATCAAATTGGTTGGAGGGACAAGTCAAGGAAAGTTGTGTTACTTTTAGGCAGAAACACATTTCATCTTGCCGGAGAGGGGAAGGTGAGCGCTTTTAAAACATTATCTTGTATATAGAGGGTTGCGTGAAGCCTACATCGCGTGCGCCTAGATTGTTCGGATTCAATAGCAAACGGCGACATGCGCGGTTCTCGCAGAATCGCGAACCATTGGAGAAACTGATAATTGCAACCGATTAAAATGTTATGAGATTTTATTTGAGCAGACACTTTGTGAAATATTGGCGAAACGGGCATAATGCAATGCTAAAAAGAGGAAATTTGAAAAGTTAGTAATAAGAGAAACCAATATCTGAGGATGACTTCTGTGAGCTTTCTATAGTCTTCGAGTATTTTTGATTTACGATAAATAGCCAAATGTAGTCAAATAATACACCATATGATGCTGTCTTGCCGCATACGTTTCTTACGACTGCCAGACCAAAAAAGCCTTATTTATCCGTTTGAACTTTGTCATCTTTGTGAAGCTAGTGGCTAATGTGTTGCCTATTATGTTTAACACTTACAGCTTGCAGGTGCCGTATTACCGTACGATGACACTTGCCACCTGGATTCAAATGGACAGTACGCAGAGGATTTCAAAAGGGTAACAATTTTTACTAGCTCGAGTTTTAGAGCCGTTGTGGTTCAATTCCTTTATTTTCAATTTCCAATACATACCCGTTTGTCGGGATGTCTGACTTACCCTTACCGTTTTAAAGATTTCTAAAATAATTTTATCTCTTTCCTTCCGTTCATCTTTTCACTTCATTTTAATTTTAAATATTTTTATTTGACTCTCGGAACAATGAAATAATTTTAAATGATTTAATAATTTCATTCTCTGAATACACGTTATTGCAAGTGACACAGTATTTATGTATTTATTGTTTAGGATTATCCCTCCTTACACAAAGTAAAGAAGATCGTGGAAAGCAATAAAGTCAACGTCATATTTGGTGTCCTCCCTGGCGTCGCATCCGGGTTCCGGACGCTGTCCGAAATGGTCAGCGGGACGGTGGTTGAGGAAACCGCGGGGACAGATATTGACCGGGCTCTGCTGTCAGGAATGCAGGTACTGTACACCGTAACCAGGGGTGAGCCTACATCCTACTTCACCACAACTTTTGAATTGTAGACACCATNCCCCCCCCCCCCCCCCCCCCCCCGTCCCGGCTACGGACCTGACATAATTGGAGTCTGGCTCATGGAAATCATCCGAGATAGCCTAACCAAGAAGTTGTAAAGATCTCTTTACAACTTCTTGGCCTAACACGAGGCTGACGACACTGTGTCAGCGGTAAACAAGAGCTTATCAGTTTTCCGGTTTGGGGTTAGAGTTAAGCACATGGCAACAGAACAGCTCCTGAATTCCATTGATGAAATCAGATATGATTCTGGTCGTGGTATACTTGATATTTATGATATTCAAGCAGTTTACATTATGATATACAATAATATAATAGTATGTATGTACAGTGTGCAACATTATGGTGGATCCAGGGTTAAGGATTTTCTGGGAATGTATATTTAAGTTGACATTTATTTATTTATTTATGTTAATTATAGGATCAAATTGGTTGGAGGGACAAGTCAAGGAAAGTTGTGTTACTTTTAGGCAGAAACACATTTCATCTTGCCGGAGAGGGGAAGGTGAGCGCTTTTAAAACATTCTCTTGTCTATAGAGGGTTGCGTGAAGCCTACATCGCGTGCGCCTAGATTGTTCGAATTCAATAGCAAACGGCGACATGCGCGGTTCTCGCAGTATCGCGAACCATTGGAGAAACTGATAATTGCAACCGATTAAAATGTTATGAGATTTTATTTGAGCAGACACTTTGTGAAATATTGGCGAAACGGGCATAATGCAATGCTAAAAAGAGGAAATTTGAAAAGTTAGTAATAAGAGAAACCAATATCTGAGGATGACTTCTGTGAGCTTTCTATAGTCTTCGGGTATTTTTGATTTACGATAAATAGCCAAATGTAGTCAAATAATACACCATATGATGCTGTCTTGCCGCATACGTTTCTTACGACTGCCAGACCAAAAAAGCCTTATTTATCCGTTTGAACTTTGTCATCTTTGTGAAGCTAGTGGCTAATGTGTTGCCTATTATGTTTAACACTTACAGCTTGCAGGTGCCGTATTACCGTACGATGACACTTGCCACCTGGATTCAAATGGACAGTACGCAGAGGATTTCAAAAGGGTAACAATTTTTACTAGCTCGAGTTTTAGAGCCGTTGTGGTTCAATTCCTTTATTTTCAATTTCCAATACATACCCGTTTGTCGGGATGCCTGACTTACCCTTACCGTTTTAAAGATTTCTAAAATAATTTTATCTATTTCCTTCCGTTCATCTTTTCACTTCATTTTAATTTTAAATATTTTTATTTGACTCTCGGAACAATGAAATAATTTTAAATGATTTAATAATTTCATTCTCTGAATACACGTTATTGCAAGTGACACAGTATTTATGTATTTATTGTTTAGGATTATCCCTCCTTACACAAAGTAAAGAAGATCGTGGAAAGCAATAAAGTCAACGTCATATTTGGTGTCCTCCCTGGCGTCGCATCCGGGTTCCGGACGCTGTCCGAAATGGTCAGCGGGACGGTGGTTGAGGAAACCGCGGGGACAGATATTGACCGGGCTCTGCTGTCAGGAATGCAGGTACTGTACACCGTAACCAGGGGTGAGCCTTCATCCTACTTCACCACAACTTTTGAATTGTAGACACCATGTGCTAGGAAGGGATCGTGTTGACTTTCATTTGCCCCAGTAATATTGCTTGTTGACAATTTTCAACCAGTAGAAATGTTGAAACAATTCTCAAGCCAAAACAATAATCCTACTTTTGCTCTAATATCAGAATATCATTTGTATACTATACTACGTTGTAGGCACTTAATAGCAAGCTAGAACTCAGAGTAAAAGATGATCCAGTTCACAGCGACGTGCAGTTACATGCTGAATGTCAAAGGTGAGTGCTTTAGAAATACAAACCAGTTGTCAGCTGTTTAAACCTGTTAACAGGGCTTTGGAGTTCTTATTCTGAAAATTCGCGTCTTTTTTGGGTGGGTCCCATGTTGACCAAGCTTGATAAATGGCATAGAACCAATTTACGAAGTGTTATTTGGGTGGATATTTCAGACGTTACCTTAGTCAGCTAATTTTTTTTTAGCAAAGTTGACTCTACGAAGTCTGTGATCCGATTTTAGCAATACAGGCTATTACAAAATTGTATGTTCGCTGGAAGACTTCTTATATCGAATAAGCTTCTTTTTGAAAGAGACCCCAGGAACCCTTTCCCTAAAATTGTTCTAAGGTTTAAATAGTGTACTTTGATTCAAAATTAGTCGGTGATCGTCCGATTAAATGGAATACAGTGCCCATTTTAAAACAAGATACACATGTAAACATCAACAGTGTTTCAGACCAATCACTTCTTTTTTTAACTAGGCCACTATAAAGAATATTGGTTGAATTTGAACTTATGTTTTGGACCAAGTTTTTGACTAAGGTTCTTAAAGTGCAACTGACCTCAGATGTCCATATTGTTTGCCACCCCTCATTGCTAACTGCACAGTGTACAAAGCATACAAAGCGTCTGGGGTACTTTTTTTTTTTTTTTTTTTTTTTGGGGGGGGGGGGGCAAACGAACACATTTATGAACATGTTCCTGGTATAAAATAGTGCCTGCTGAAAAGTGTTTTGATTTACTTCCTATTTATTTCAGAGGGAACGCTGTAGACGAACGAAACAAGACGCTTATTTGTGAAAACCTAGGTCCGTCAGACGTGGTGAGTGTTATGTTTCCTACGCATACCAAAACAACAGAGGCGTGAGATAGACTATATAAAAACAGGATAAATTTTGACGTTTAATCATTGCATACGGCAGTTTCCCGTTGTCTATTTTTCAAGATCTGCAGTCTTCTTCCGGAAGCAGGAAAACGTAATGCTTCAATGCTTCCAAACATATCGAAAAAGGAAAGTAAACTAACATCGAGTTTGATACTTTCGTTCAACAGTTGTCTTAAACGTAAAGGACATTATTGTTTGTTATTATTATTTTTCATTTCCCTCATTTCCATTCGTCTTTAATTTTTGTTTTCGTGTCTGATAGGTCAATTTTCGGGTTACTGTGACCGTCGATAAATGTCCTTTGGAAGACCACGTGGTATACGTGTCACCAATCGGAATAGGGGAGGAGGTCAAGGTCAGCTTGCACCCGCTTTGCACCTGTCCATGTGAGGCCACGACGCCGGCAACCATGGTAACGACACCGGCAACCATGGTAACTATCGTACACTTTTATCCCTGTTTTCTTAAAGGTATCCAATCTGGGATTTTCGCGCCAAATGAATTTTCAGCTAAGATATTTTCATTTTTCTTTTACTCATGAATCATTACTCCAGTTGTCCCTGCACTTGAATTCGATGTTTTACACCAATCCCAATGAAATGGTTTTGTTTTAAATCGGTAGCCAGCTGCTTTCACCGCAATGTCTCCCTGTACATCTCAAAAGGATACATAAACATCATATTCTAGAGGTATTTTATCATTCTAGTGGTATGAAATTTGCATGACATGTAGACATAAAAAATATGACTTTGGAACAATTTTGGACGCGGATAATTTTAAAGTACCTAGGTCAGTTTAGATATTTATGGTATCGTAACGTCATCTTTTCAAGTATAGCAGTGGCGGATTTAGCAGGGGATCAAGACCCCAGGGGGAGTCAGGGGGGTCCTGACCCCCCTTCGGTTTCTGAAAAATTCACACTAATATTCCCCTCTAAAAAGCCTTTAGCGGGCCCCAAAACCCACCACAAGGGAGCCGAGGGGCGGCTTCGAATCCAATGCCTGTCATTCGCTAAAAACACTGACCCCCCCCTTCAATTCCTGGCTTTGCCCCTGTCTTACCACCTGTATATAGCAGACAAAATTGTGTCTTCTTTGCAGAATTAATTGTCCAACAGCTATACCTTTGTACGCTGGTTCAAATGCTAGAGTGTTTAATGCAGTAATTTTGCTAGATATGATTTCTGAAAAATTGAATTTTATTGCTAGAAGAAGAAAAACGTATATTAGGTGGGCGGGTGGGTCAGGCATATCGCTGTCGTTGGCGTGTGCAGCTGCAAGAAAAAAAAAACAAACAAAGCCGTCATCAACTATTGTAACAGAAAGTCACGAGTTCCTAGTCCCGGATAACGCATATCAGTCCGTTACAGCAACGACCTGGCCCTGCAACCGGGAAGTCACGGAAAAAAAAGCCGGTATAGTTCAGAATATGTGATCGATTTGACAACAACTTAATTGCTGGTCATTATCTTAGTCTTCCTTTCTCTTCACTATTAAAGATTTTAAAATGATGCTTAGGCGGGGATGGTCATAGTTCTCTATCCTTTACCATCTATGCAACAGAACAAACTTTAATGGAGTCAATAGCTAATCCGGCATGGCGGCATGCATGTCATACTGCCCTTTCAAAAAAAAAAAAAAATTGCTCGTGTACATGATGAACTATGACAACGTTGATGATGATACCAAGTTCGCAGACTGACGATGCGCGGGATGAAATACATATGCACGGCTCACGGCCTATTGATTGTAAAAGCAGATATATACATGTACAGCCAAACTGGCCCTCTCTGTGAGAAAGTATAAAGTTTCTATTTGATCCGAATTTTACCAACGAAGCTTCTGTGGCACCGTGGTAACGTCGACGTCTTGGACACAACTATACAACCATACGCGGGTTCGAATCCCAAGATGTTCTATGTGGTATTTTTGCTCGAAATCATTTTTAAATATTGCGTTTGGTTACTTTAAGAGGAAACTCGTATGTACGGAGGGTGGGCGGTTCAGTCACGGCGCAGTCGGTAGCGTGCTTGGTTGTCAAAGAATTAGTGATTGCTTTTGACAACAACTAAATGCACGTCATTATGATAAAGCCAGCTTCGTATCTTTACTGCAGAGTCTTTAAAATGATAGTTATGCGGGGATGGTCAATGGTCTCTATCCTTTACCAACTACGCAACAGATCACAATTGCATCGAGTGAATGCCTTGCCCGGCATGGCGTCATGCATGGCATACAACCCTTTCATAAAAAAAGCTATCTGCTTCTTGGGGCTATCAGCAAGAAAAGTTTTTTTCAAAAGTCACATTGCCGCTATTGCTTTATCTAATCATATATTTCATTTCTAATGCCCCCCCCTTTTTCCTTGCTTTTCAACACTGTACATATATTCATACTGTACCCGGGGCAACTCCACATTGGACTTATGAAATGACAAAGACTACTCTCAATTAACCGCCAATTTGTGAACCCCTTTGGCGCTCATCGTGCTCTACAACGTCACAGGTGAAGTCAACCGTAAACTCGGTGTAAAACGAAATGAAAATAACAGCATCTGAAATCATCTAACTAGGAAGGTTCCGGGCACACTTAAAAAATAACTTGAATTGATTCAGTAGCTTTCCCGTTATAGCACCACGTCATACGACCTGTAAACTGCGGTCAGCAGAAAAAAAGATATTTTCCTGGCGTAATTATTTGCCAAATGTATTTTTCTCATAATTGGCATGGTGGCAATTGCATAAATGGAAAGTGCATCAGCTTATACATGTTTGAATTTTTTTTAAAGATTCCCTCTTCTAATGAGGTTGCTAAAACTAAAATCGTCCCATTGTGCTGTTTAACGTCATTGTGAAGCCAAAGTAAAGCTCAGCATAGTAGAAAAAAGTGATCTATCTAGGAACGTTCCGGTTCTGCTTCTCAAATAAGTGTTCGTGCACATGATGAAGTATAACAATGTTGATGATGATACCAAGTTCGCAGACTGACGATGCGCGGGATGAAATACATATGCACGGCTCACGGTCTATTGAATGTTATAGCAGATATATACATGTACAGCCAAACTGGCCCTCTCTGTGAGAAGGTATAAAGTTTCTATTTGATCCGCATGTTACCAACGAAGCTTCTGTGGCACCGTGGTAACGCCACCGTCTTGCATGCGGCTGGATGGTTATCCGCAGGTTCGAATCCCAACGGGTTCGTTGTGATATTTTCGTTAAAAATAATTTTTCAAAAATTTCGTTTGGTTACTATAAGAGGAAACTCATATATACGGAGGGTGGGCGGTTCAGTCACGACACAGTCCGTAGCGTGCTTGGTTGCAAAAAATACCAAGCTATCAGCAAACCATGGTAACGGCAAGTCACGAGTTCAAGTCCCAGATGATGCCTGTCAGTTCACCACAACAACGACCTGACAGCAGTCTACTGCGAATGCAGGCTCTCGTGTGTCCGAGCAAATTAGCTTTTGCATATAAATTCGGTATAATTTAGAATTTGTGATCGATTTTGACAACAACTTACTGCTCGTCGTTATGATATAGCCTATAAATATGGAGGTCAGGTCACACCGCTCACGCAGTCGAAAACGGGAAAAAATCTAACCTCGCTGTTTGTTTTCCATCATAACTTCCAAGATTTGGGTCCTATGATAAATATGAAAATATATTTAAAAAGTGCATTGAATGGGCTTTCGAACAATATGTGTAACAATGTATCATGTCTCTGTTGTAAGCCTCCAGCCACGAAAATGCTGCGAGAAATCGCCGGTGATTTCACTTCCTCGTTTGGTTCCCACTATTTACGAATTTTGCTCAACATGCGAGTTTCGCGCCATTTTTCTAAAAGCTCCGTACGGCGTCCCGGACGTTATTTCTTCATATTTGGACACATATTCATGAGGAGAATGAATCAAGCGTTCGAGTGAGGGGTTACAGAAGTTTACTCAACCGAAAACGGCAACCAAAACTAGCTTGTAAAGTTTTTAATCGTGTTTTAGAGTTAGAATAACGAATTTCTGAAAGTTCTGTAACCCCTACCTAAATTTTTTAACTAATTCTCGGTTCAAATCAGTTTTTTATTTATCATTTTTTGGTAAGATAGAGCCGTAACAGCCGTTAGAAAATCAGTGACTTTGATCTTACCGCAAACAAAATGGCGGACGCACCAAGCTGTTCTGCTGATGAAAAAGCAACTGCACTTTCAGCACCCAAAGAGGATCAAGATATCAGAATATCTAATCAGAAAATCTTTGAATTGTTCACGAAACCCAGTAATATTGATAAAACGCCTACAATTCAAGAATATAGAGTTTATTTTATTTTTCAAACAAAGTATGAAATTACGTACGATATTGATGGGGTTAGTGCTTTTTTTCTGTCTTTGAACTAGTCAGTGAACATAAAAAGGGGAATCTTGATTAAAATCATGGAGATATGCAATAACTCTAGAATGGTTTATGACAGCCGAACAAAAGGGAACAAAAGAAATATTTATTTATTTATTTTTTCTTAACAACAACAAAAAAAGGAAAACTCCTAAAACTGCCATTATGTTATGGCAGTCTCTCCCAAAAATCTCGCTGGTTTTTTTATTACCTACCTGCTATGATGTCCAATATCAATTAAATTTTTTTGGCAAAATTATAACTAACCAAAATCGGATATTATTTATTTTCATTGTGCATTCTGGTATTTTTTACTAGTTAAACCTTAAAATCGTATATGCAATTGCCATTGTAATATTGGTTGCCATGGCAACAGTGACAGAGTATTTGTTTACTACTTAATTTAAATTCATAAACTGAGTACCAAGAGTGTTTCCCACTTCATATTCAGTTTAAAAATTCATGATAATGTGTAAAAAATAATTCAAACAGTTACCATAGCAATAGCTATCATAATGACGATTTTCATAGCAACAGATACATTAGAAGCTATTATTTTTTATTTTAGTGATGGCACATTATTTAGCATCATTTTCATCCAAAAGTAGCCTTTGGGCAGTGATGCTGAAGCCTTAGGTTGAAAAATCAAAAAAATAATATCGATCGCTATTGATATTTAGCAATGGTTGCCATGGAAATAATGGATAAATTACAGAAAATTGTATCTTGTCAGATTCTTCTTGGCATAGTGTAACTTTCCAGAAAATTTCAAATGGATATTTCACTCCATTCAAAAGTAATGCCAATTTTGTTTTATTGATTGGGCAATTAGGTGACACTTTTGGCTTCCACTGTTACATATGCTTGCATACAAGACATTTTCAAAATTTTGTGGCCGACTAGCATTCTTGAAAATTTAATAACTTTTGATTGGCTTGCTTGATTTTCAAAAAATAAAATGTTTTGGAAAGCTCATGAATTGCTCTATCAGATAAGATCATTTTGGCTGATATTTATGTTACTATCAAAGTTGACCTGACCCCCAGTA